CACTGCCGACGATATAACTTGAAAGCCAAATGGAAGACCATCACTATTATGTCCGCCAAAAAATCGAAAAATGCCTTCCTGTAGTAGAATTTTCAAAATAATTTCGCCAAAATGTACTTCTAATAGAGGATGGATTTCAAGTACGTGGGGGTTACCGCTTGACTACTAGCAGACGACAAAATTTGACCGCAATAGAAGACCACCCTTTGGAACTCGACTTGCGGGACAAAATAGAAGACCAGGTGGTCTTTTATTATGGAGGGGGGAGGGGGTAATTGCATGTAGTTGGAAATCGCCTTACACTAGATACATCGTCCGATTTTAACGATAGGATGGAATGGAATTGACTTAAAACGATGTTTAAGTAGATGAATTGATCGATATATCCCACGATGCATCGCCCGACACATCGTACGATGTATCGACCGCTTTATCGGGCAATTTCACGCGTGTCTCATCTGGAGCCGGCACACGACCAGACTCATCTCGGTGAATCGGGTTAATATCGCTACTAGATACATAATCAGATACATCTAGAAATTGATTCGGTTGTATCTAGATGTATCGACCGAAAATCCGATTCAACTATTGCTCTTTTTTATGCATCTAGATGTATCTCGTTTTGTATCGTCGAATATCAATGGAGTTTTCGGTAAAAAACGATAGTATCGACCTTAACCTAGCGAAAACTCTGTAAGTTGCAACAGTCACAAAAACCGAAGGAATTTTAGAAACGACAACTTTATTATTTTATTTCGCATATCATTGTCTTCCAGATTTACAAACAGTAAATATATATGATAAAAAAAATCATTAGTACGTGCACCTGAAATGCGTCACTTTATATCTCGTCTTCTACCGCAATTTTACTATACAATCATTTAAAGACAGTTGGGCGGTAATAAATAATTTTGATGGTAATAAAACAAAACTCTGATGCTAGTGAAGATACAATTAAATTTGATATCAGTCTCATAAAAGACATGTCGAACAATGATAAGGAAGATACATTATCGTATATGAAAAATTTATTATTTTTAATCATCAAACTTTTGCATGAAATCAGACATGGATATCTCCAGCCTCGGGCACGAAAATTTTTTATCAGCTGAACTAGATCTACAAAAAAAATTCGGTACACCGGCCACCCACGCTCTATCCGGAGAAGCAGGAAATGCAATTAAACGATTCTTTTGTTTTTATTTTCTTTTTGGATATTTACCTTCGCGACTAATCACAGACGAATCTTTAGTATTATTATTTAAATTAAATTTTAAAAGCACAACGACATTCAAACTCAAAGACGGTGATTTCTTTAGAGACGAAAATGTAAGTAGTCAAAAATCTCCAACGAAAGGTGCTATTCAGTCGTGTGGTATGGGAAGTGATGATGAAGATGTTGAGTATGATCCTTTGTCATTGAATCCGAATAACAATATGATCAGTAAATGCAAGTAACTTATTTTTTAAATCATCTTGTGTTTCCTTTTTTTCTACCTACTCGAACAATCAGAGTATCTTTCTTGTGTCGCCGAGTGTTGCACATTTTATAGTATTATAGATAGTTCATTGTGGGCATTTACCGATCAGTCATTTTCTGTTATGTGCAGCCTTCAAATTTGGTGAAAGATAATAGCTAAACTGATTTCTTTGTCGTTCTAGATCAACCTTTCTTACATTATTATAATTATTCGTTCGATTATTAAACCTGATTTCTAATTAGCTATTTTTTTTGTGTGATGTTTTGTTATCACTCTAATTTTTTATTAAGTATGAAGCAGATTAGTTACAGTCAGACTGACCAATTAAATTGTTTTGTTTCAAGTATAGACAGAATGTCTGGTTCAATCTATATATTTTAGGTCCTTTTTCAGGAATGTGGAAGTTATCATTTACTCAAACTCTCAGATAGAATCGATATACGCGGCCTAGCGATTGCTCGAAAAACACGGTCATCTCTCTCAGCTAAAAACTTGAAATATTCAATGTTCCTAAAAGGTAAACTTTAATCTTTTGTTTAGTCTGCTTTTCTTACAAAGATCATACTTCTTTTATTTTACTTTTTAACCATACTTATCTGAGGAATAAAAAATTGACCATTTTACATGNTGAACAGCTCTTTTGAAATTTTAAAAATTGAAATTTTTTGAAATTTTTCAACGACTACTGCTTTCACGCTGAAGCAAGAGCTTGCTCAACTCGAAGTACTGGAGAAGAACGGTCATATATTTGCGTCATTCTAGACGACTAGTGAGCTGCTCGAACATATCAGCTCCTTTCAAAAGAGCTGTTCAAACATATCAGCTCCTTTCAAAAGAACTTTTCAACAGTTCCTATGATAGGAGTTGATATGGAACTGTCATACCCCTAACTATGTAGAACATACATATCTGTCTATTCAGCATTACATGACGATTAAGCCAGCATTCTGATTACAGTACCCTAGACAAAATCCTACGCACTTTCTGTCTATTTCCTACTAGGATCTTACACGATTCTAAAGTTTAGGGCCTACCTACTAACTTCCTAGAAGGATCCTACCAGAATTTCGCTTAAGTCTGTTTAGGATACTAACAGAATCTTAGAAAAACCTGTGACTTTTTGGTATATCTGACTTCATTAGGATTTTGTTAGGACCCTAAGAAATTAAAGCGAAATCATAGTAGGATACTGGTAGGATATGTCTCGGATCCTGTCAGAAAACTCATAGGACTTTTACTTTATAGGGCATCTTAAGTCATCATAACTAACGTATCGCTTTCCGTCTTTATTTGTATTTTCTATCGTCGTACGAACAGTAGTACCTTTATGTGTTAAGAGTCAGATATCTCGACTTTTTTGAAAATTCTTTTATATTAAAGTTTAGAGATGTAAAATTTTTATCAGACGATGCCAATCGAGTAGATTGTAGTTCTGTAGCCAAATGTTCCTAAAGTTTTGGGAGAAATCTTAATCTTTATTGCTTCGCCACTGTTCCACCTAATGTAACATTAACTCTTGAACCTGAAAATTTTTATCTTACAGAATTAGTAATGTTTCTCAAAAAATGACTCTTTTCTTCTTAAAATTTTTTTTGGTTCGTTCAAAAGTTATAATATAATAAAAATCACTATAACAATGGAAAAACTGCTGTCTTCAGAAGTAAAAATACTCGTTTAACTAAAAAACGACAGATGGTGAGGAGTTCAAAACAATTTCGATTCTCAACACCAGTTTCTATTCTTTTTGATAAAAATAGCAGCTCGGCTGAGAACAAACTGTAATGTATTTCAATTCAAAAAGTGGAGTTTTGGAGTAAACATCGAAAAAACAGTGAGTGTTTGTAGAATGCTGGATCAGAAACTAGGAAGACTGACAAATTTTACACAAAATACATTGGTCTAGAGGATACTATGTCAACAAAAATTTAGTATAATAATATAATAATTTAGTAATAATAAAAATCACTATAACAATGAAAAAACCGCTGTCTTTAGAAGTAAAAATACTTATTTAACTAAAATATGCTTCCTCACTGGAATAGTATATTTTAAAATGAACTAACTATTATCGTCAAAAACCTTTAATATTTTGCGAACATGTTAGTAAAACTTGTAAAAGTCTCATACCAAACGTTAAAATTAATTTTGCATTCAGAACACGTCGTTGTTAAAACGTCTTTTTCTACCAATTCAAAAAGGGGTTAGGTGCATCTCTTTTAAGGCCCCCGGTCAGAAACATAGATTTTTCCATAAAAGGTCCCTATTGAGCTAAGCACATGATTGAAGAGCCCAAAGTGCCTGCTTTTAGGATTCATACTATTTCTGCCAATATCATATGTTTCTCGAGGATTTTGAACAAACCATCTAAACGCCCTCGAAAGCTGATTTTTCTGAAATTCTGATATTTCAATGAAATGTCGGAATCAGAGATGTCGGAAAATGCTTTTTTTTCAACCCATGGGTCACCCATAACCCAACTAGTCCCTCTGTGGGTGGGTTCCGGTTGGGTTTGATTTTCTTTCTAACCCATGGGTCGTAGGGTTGGGTTGAGTAACGCGAATCCATCCATTGGGTTAAACCCTACGTTTATTCACCCTGAACTTTCTTCTATATACTGGCACATATGCAAGTTTAAATCTATCTATGTAAGGTTTGTCCATAAATATGAGATCGTTGTGTAGAATATAAGATAAAAAAATATATATTTTTTATTTTCATATGGACAAAAAGAAAATCTTTACCATGGTTATGAGATAAAATAAGAACACGATTAATTACTAACAAAGAATACAATACATACTATATAGAAGTTAGATTAGTTGAACCATTATATACATTGACACTATTAAATGCGAAATAATAATATCAATCTCGCCGACGACGAAACGAGAAAAATAGAAAAGAGACGAAGACTAGAGAGAGAAATAAAAGACGAAATAATATTAAAGACGAAGCTATATGTATGTATGTTACACTTAATCACTAGATCGAGCAATAATTATTAAGGTACTGATGACGTTATGATACAAGTCATATCATAACGAAATCTTCATCCAACAAGCTCTTTTATAACGATTTTTTGGAAATATAGGTAATTTAATGGGTTAATCCAACGGTTACCTATGGATGACCCGACAAAAATTGCTTTCGAATCTGGGTGGGTGGGTCAGGGTTGAGGTCGTTCAAATAGTCAACCCAACCCGCCAGGGTTGAGAGTAACCCATGGATGCTCCAACCCAGGGGTACCCATACCGTAACCCACCCACCCGACATCTCTGGTCGGAATTAAAAAGACTTCTAGTGACTCCCATTTGTAGAGTACACATTTATGGTTAAAATGAAACGTCTCCTAGCACCGAGCAATGCTTTAATCAAAAGTTAAGACAGTTTTATTAAGGGTCCTAAAACGTGTGTCGACACTAGCGCCACTATATCTCAAAAGCGACTTTTTCCTACGTGATAAACACTGCCGGAAAGATTTCTCCGTCAAACTAAGCGCTAGAGAAATCGGCTTGATCTTAAATTGAAGCTAACACATATGGAAACAACGTAATAGAGCTCAATTTTTGGTTGAGGTAGTCATCCTTTTACGTTGTTGAAAGGTATACACCAGTTTTTGCGCTTTTTTCGAGCGTTAGGTGAAATCCCTCGGAGAGAAAAACTGAGAAAAAACTTAAAAATCCAGCTGTTACCTCGTTACTCTTAATTTTGCCTTTATAAAGCTTTCATACCTGTATAAAGTTTCTTTTACTATCCACCTGCGCCAGTTTGATTCAAAAACTACAATCCCTTTTTGATGGAGATTAATTGTATGCGAATAATGAAAAGTGTTGAACTATTATCGGGAAAAAAATAAGATGAGAGCAAGTTCAAGTACTTATAACTTTTTAGCTAAAAGAGCTAGAGACCTGCAGTTTTCACCATTAGAAAGAGCAACTCAGAGGACACAAATTCCTCGAAAAAGAAGAAGTTTCCGACAGTTTTCACAAGCTAAATTTAGCGGACGAAAGTTGGGAAAATTAGCGTGTTTTTCAAGAAAACAGTTATTTTATCCTTTTAACCTAGTCTTGTAGAGCGAGAGGTCCTCTTTCGATTGGTATCAAAGCAACCCCCAAAATTTTGCTTCTTCGCGGAGCTACAGACGTTTTAATCGGCTGAGCACTCGTAAGCGACTTTTCGCTATAGAAAAGAAAAAATCGTCGAAACATAGGTTATTGGCCACCCTGAATCTCGTGATAATATTTGTTTTTCAAAACACTTGTAAAAACCTAATAAAAATCTATATTGGGTGGAATAACCCATTGTTGCCTATATTTGAGTAAACTTAAAAATTCAAAACCCATCCAAGATTCATCCAAAATACGTCAGTATATCAAGATGTACTCTGTTTTACCTGTTCTATATGTTTTCTTACTTGAGAATAGTAAAAAACATTGCTGTACTTCGGAAGATTTCCTGAAACCCTTTCAGAAGCCAAAGTACTTTCTGTTGACTTATATAGGTTGTTGTTGAACTGTTTCATATAGAACGGGTACATCTTGATATACTGACGTATTTTGGATGAATCTTGGATGGGTTTTGA